TACCCCTTCCCAAGATGAGGGTAGCAGATTCTAGATAATATTATATGGTAGGACCAGTCTATCCTGTTGTCCTATGTCTATTGTTCCATCTCCTTGTTATAAAGTCCTTTCCACTAGCCACACCTTAGTCCAGTGTGCTGTTATTCAGGATCCCATGTAGATAAATTAAGTATTCTATAAACTCTTGGAGATTGGTGTTAGCGCAGATATGGTAACAAAGCTACATACAGATTACATATGAATTCCAGGAGAAATGAAAGTGAAAGGATTCACTGAGATCTGTCAATACATACATATAATTATTATTTCCATTCAACTCCAACTCCATTCTTTTCTTTTTTAATTTCTAGGTCTGAGACCAAGACTCAAATTTAATACCTGTAGCTGCTTGTGCTCATTGGCTAGCACTCTAGCAACTGAGCCATATCTCCAACTTAAGTCAATTCTTAAATTTTCTCCACATAATGTGTAGCATGAGGACTCTGCTACCTGGTTTCCCTGACTCAGTTCCTGTGTTTTTGTTAGGTTCTGCTAAAAGGTGACTGGAAGGATTTTTTTTCTTCCTTCTTTCCTTCCTTCCTTCCTTCCTTCCTTCCTTCCCTCTTTCCTTCCAGCAGTCTTGGGCTTGAACTCAGAGGCCTGGGGAATGTCCCTGAGCTTCTTTTGCTAAAGCTAGTGGTCTACCACTTGAGCCACAGTGTCATTTCTGGCTTTTTCTGAGTAGTTTATTAGAGATAAAAGTCTCAGCCAGGTGTCCTTGGCTCATGCCTGTAATCCTAGCTACTCAGGAGGCTGAGATCTGAAGATCACAGTTCAAAGCCAGCCTGGACCGGAAAGGCCTTGAGACTCTTATCTCCAATAAACCACTCGGAAAACTGGAAGTGGAACTGTGGCTCCAGTGGGTAGAGTGCTAGCCTTGAGCTAAAGTGCTCAGGGACAGCACTCAGGCCCAGAGCTCAAGCCCCATGACCAACAAAAACAAAAACAAAAGTCTCACTCACTGTGCCAGCTGGTTTCAAACCACAACCCTTAGATCTCAGCCTCCTGAGTAGCTAGGATTATAGGCATGAGCCACAGGCTCCTGGCTTTTTGTTTGTTCCGTTACTCTATCACTTAGTGGAAGTTGTTTCCAGCCTTTAGGCTCCTGTACTCTGAGAACCAGGCTGGAGACAACCTTGCAGAGAAATGAGCACACAGAAATGCACACAGCTCTTGCTGCTGCCTATTGTTAATACTGCATTGTCTCAGTGTTCTCTTCTTCATTGCTATTGATTGACTGATTGATTGATCTGGCAGTACTGGGAAATGAATATGGGCTTCATGCTTGCTAAGCAAGCACCTTACCTCCTCATGGCTCTTTTAGCTCTTTTAGTCCTCCAACCCCTGAGGATACAATTTTCTGTATTCATATCCTCTCTAATTGAGATGATACACAAAATTACATACAAAGTAACAGATATAATGTAGAACAGATACATTGTGACATAGTTTTATATTGGAATAGTATAGAAAGAAAGCAGATCTTCCAAACCAATACAGAAATAATCATACTTGTATACATAAAGTATGATTTCATTTCTATAAAGTTTAAACACTGAAAAAGTATTCAAATGTATGTACATATATATGTATATATGTATATGTTTGCTATACAAGGGTTTGAACTCAGGGCCTTGCAAAATAGGCAGTCTATCACTTGAGCCACACCTCTATCCAGTCCTATGTTTTTATTGTTGAACACACAGGTGATAAAACTATAAAGAAAAGCAAGGAAATAGTTACAATGAAAATCAGGATATGACAAAGAACAAACAAGCCACTCTTCCTGATCTGAGATTTACCTCAGTGCTGGAGGTGCAGCTCAGTAGTATGGTGTTTGCCTAGTGTGGGTGAGGCCCTGGGTTCCATGTCAGTACTACAGAAAAGAAAAAAAACCTACCATTTCACAACTTTCTATGAAGCTACAATTTTCAAAAATGTATGATACTGGCATAAAAATAGGCTTGTAAACCAACAGAATTGAACAGAATTCAAATATAAAAAACTCACATATATGATCAAATGATTGCTGATGTTTTTACAAGATCATTCAGCAGTGAAAGGACAGCCTTCTCAACAAATGGCGTGGAAAACAGGGTGTCCCCATGCAAAACGGAACCCTAAACTGACATCATCTCCAAACTTAATTCAAAATGGGTCACCTTTAAGGTCACAAGACCTTAAACTCTAAGAAAAGCAGGGCATTGGTGGCTCGTTCCTCTAATCCTAGTTACTTAGGAGTCTGAGATCTGAGGACTGTGGTTTGAAGCCAGGCCAAACAAGAAAACTCTTATCTCCAGTTAACTACCAAAAAAGCAAGGAAGTGGAGCTGGGGCTCCACTTGGCTGGACACTAGCCTTGAGTACAAAAGCTCAGGCACAGCACCAGGTCCCTGAGTGTAAGCTCCAGGATCAGCACCAAAACAAAAAAGAAAACAAACACTTTAAAAAATGATATCTACGGGCTAGGAAGGCAGCTCAGTGGTAGAGTGCTTGCTTTGTATACATGAGGCCCTGGGTTCGATTCCTCAGCACCACATAAACAGAAAAAGCCGGAAGTGGCACTGAGGCTCAAGTGGTAGAGCGCTGGCCTTGAGCTGAAGTGCTGAGGGACAGCGCCCAGGCCCAGAGTTCAGGCCCCATGACCAACCAAAAAAAAAAAAGATATCCATGGGGCTGAGAAGTTGGCTCAGTGTAGAGTGCTTACCTTGCATACATGAGGCCCTGGGTTCAATTCCTCAGCAGAAAAAGCCAGAAGTGGCACTGTGGCTCAAGTGGTAGATAGAGTGCTCACCTTGAGATGAAGAGGTTAGGGACAGTGTCCAGGCCCAGAGTTCAGGCCCTACTACCGACAAAAAAAAAAGATATCCAGAATATATAGAGAATTCCTAAAAACTCAGTAGCAAACAGGGGGAAAAAAGGAAACTAATTTAAACTGGGCACCATTCTAATCCTGGAGCAGTTTGAATAGAGATGGAGCAGTTGCAGTGGGGAATTAAGAGAGCAATATGGAGACCAAAGTCCGCAGGGAAGCCAGACCATGCCTTCATTTCCAACGTTAGTTTCTTTTTAGTATAGATGGGTTACACTTACGTGTGTCAGCTAATGAGTATATTTCCTTTTGTAGGGTGTCATCTGTTCCCTCATTCTGTCCCATTCCCTCCATCTGCACCCACGAGTTGTATAGTTCACTTTTATCAATGTCCAGGGCGTTCCACTGCTGCACTTTTTCATACTTTTTCCTCAGATTATGTGCCCTCCTCCCACCATCCTGCAGAATATGTACATGAATACACCATACCTAAGGTAAAAAATACAGAATCATCAGAAAAGGAAAAAAAATTTTGTTTCCATATCTTTCAAATTCATTTTAGTATGTACCTTATTTTATATAAATATGAAGAAGTGCTTAGGCATTGTACCTTTGTGATTCTGATAGAGAATTTATTAAAGGAGTTATTAACTAGGTATAAAGTTAAATAAATAAAAGGTAACAACTATTCATGGAAATAGCTGGAAACAGCCATCAACACTGGCTGGAGGAACAAAGGAATTAAATTGGAATAGTTTAAAATATATACACTTACAAGAGAGGCTTCGCAGAGCTAAAATTCCAGCATTTGGGGATGGGACACTGCTCTTTCATGGTGCTAAGGTCTCTGAGCTTGCAGAAGTCCTGGGTCCTAGAAGAGAAGGCCTAGTGATGAGGCTGGCTCTTGCAGATGTTGATATAACTGTCTCAGGGGCTGCTACAGAACTGTTGCTAGGATGATGACTACTCGAGTGGGAAGGTCCTTCCTCTAGTCTTGCTGGGCATACCAGGGCAAAGTAGAAATGTGGGTTTCAGGGTCTCAACCTTGCACTGGTGGGAAGTATGTTAGGGTCGATTCAGAGCTCCAAGGCAATGGCTTTCTTTGGAAGTTTCCTAGATTCCCAAGTTCCTAGTAATAATTTCTTCTTCTGCAGGTTGGCTTTGCCACAGATGAACACTGTGGCCAGGGGAGACAGATTAAGATAGCCAGAGACCAACCAGGCAAGTACGTGGCTTAGACTGGAGTGAGTATTTGGAGAGATGGAGGAGAGGCCAATGGACAATATTTGTGTCTTTTTCTTGGTAGCCAGCCTTTGTTACTGAGTCACCTTCACTGCTCTATATTTCAGTGGCTTTGTTTGGAAAAGAGCTTCTGACCTTTCTTTGTATTCAGATCTACCCCTCCCTTTGAGAGAAACAGTTTCAAACAGTTTAAAGAGCTTTTTCAACCAGTTAGTTTCATAGGACCTCCTGAGGGTGATGGTACCAAGCAGCAATGCTGGCAGCCAAGGGGTTAACCCTCAGGCCTGTTGGTGGCTGCCACTCCTCTGTTACCTGGGCATGGGCAGCTCTGTGGTGGGTGAAGACACCACCTTTAGCTGCCGATACTCTGGAGTCCTCTGTGCCTGTCATTCCAGGCCCTGGACTAAGATGGTTTGTTCTGAGCTCCCATCCTCCACCCTAGGAGAGGTTGTTTTGTCCGACTAACGCAGACAAGTCCACTCCAGGCACAGACAGCTACATTCGATCCTTAGCCCCCAGGGTTAGCACTCAAGGCCCCTTGAGCTGTCTGAACACAACCCCAGCCTCGCAAGGAACGTTGAGGCTGAGTGGGGGGGGGGGCGGTCGGGGCTGAGATGAGCACACAGGAGGTGAGGACCTCCATTCCCCAGGCAACAAGGCGAAATCAGAGACAGAGCTAAGGAGGCCTAGAGGCTCCGGAGCTCAGGGCCACCTGGCAAGGAGCCTTGAGTGTGGGGGTGGAGGCAAAGTCTCCGCTCCCTTCCATGTCTGCCTCTCTTGGGGACCCCCCTCCGTTCCCTTTGGAGGCCCCCAGGCCTTCCTCTTCCCTTCCCCCCACACCCTGAACCCTTTGCGATTGGTCCTTGGCCTTCAAGGGGCGTGGCCAGATGCCCCTGACGTCACCAGGCGAGGGGGGCGGGCGGCTGGGGGAGGGGGGGGTGACAGGCCCCGGCTCAGCACCTCGGAGAGCTCCCTCCCCGGCCTTGTTTTGCTCGGAATCGCTGCCGGGGGAGGGAGCGAGGGGGCCGGGCACCGGGAGTCGGAGGCCGAGAGATGGCTGAGAAGGGGTGGAGGGGCCCTGGAGGGCAGAAGGCCCAGTCGTGATCTGGCGAGGGGGCCGGGGCGTTGGGCCGGGTGGGGGTGAGGGGCAGCAGGCGGCAGCAGCAGTGGCTGAACATCTGGATGGAAGCGAGCTTTGTCCAGATCACCATGGCTCTGGGGCTGCCCTCCAAGAAAGCATCTTCCCGCAACGTGGTCGTGGAACGTAGGAACCTGATCACCGTGTGCAGGTGGGCGCCGCTGGCGGGTGGGGGCGCGGTGCTCAGGGAGAGGGGTTGGGGCAGACGTGGGAAATCTGGACAGAGCATGCCGGCAAAGGATGCCCAGGAGTGGCGAAGAAAATCAAGGGAAGCAAAGCAAAGGGTTAAAAAGAACGCAATCATTGACCCCCCCCCTTCCCCCAGGCCCAGAACCTGGAGCAGGTTTGAAGTCTGGTGCCCATCTTTAAGGCTAAACCAGGCCTCAACCCGGCCTGAGGCCTGCGGGGGGGGGGGGGAGGGAAGAAAGGAGGAGGGGAGGGTGGTGAAGAATGAGAGGGGGAAGGAGAGGAGGGAGAGGTGTCTAATTGGCACTGCAGCTTCCTGATGGAACCAGGAAGTGACATTGTGTGTGAGGGGGAGGGGGAGGGATGTCTGGTACCCATGCTGAGGATGGGGGCTGAGTGGACAAGGGGAATCCACGAGTGGGGGGGGTGAATGCCCTCTAAGTATCCTCACGGCTGCCCCTGTCAGCTGGCTTCTCCGGAATGGGGCTTTCCTGGGAAACTTTCTGATTCTCAACACTGGAGCAGGGATGGTACCCTCCCTCCCACTCTGCAGCCTGTGGCAGGGTCCATTGGCTTTGTGGGCAAAGCTCCTGAGTCTATCCAGTGAAGGTCAAGGGTCATTTTCTTACCATGGGAAGAACCTAGGCCTACCTGTAAGAAGCCTGGTTTCCCTGGTCAAGCAGTGATTGGCTAGAACTATCGGCCCTTGAGGGTGGGGTTGTGGAAGGGCTGGGAAAATTCACAGCTTTCTTGGGAGGCAGGAAGTGATGTTTCCCACTTCAACCCTGCAGTGTCTCATCCTCCCTGTTCTGCCTCCAGGTCAGGAAACTGCCAGCTGTGCAGGCTCTTTTCCAAACCCCCACTCACATTCGCTTCTCCCTTTAGGAGCCACATGCCAGCTGCCTTTTCCACCTGCAGCCTCCCTGCCTCCCATATTCCCCTGTTATGATAGGGTCCTCTTGGGTGAAGAGCTGTATTATCTTTCCTTGCCCATCCCACTTGCTGGCACACAGAACTCAGCCCAGCTCCTCCTCCCGGGAATCAATGCCCACCTGATGCCCTGGCTCTTGGTGTCCAAAGCTTCTTCCAGGTTCCTGGGCACACACCCAGCCATGCTGTATCTGATTTATAGCATCATAATCCCTAGTGTGTCAGACAGGGTAAAGATTTGGAATGAGTGCAGCCATGCCCCAGCCCAAAGCACAGCCATGGCTTCTGCCCTTATCACTTTCTAAACTACTGATGTGGTGTAGAGAGAAGATGGCCATAGTTTCTAGCTTTTACTTCAGTTCCTCGTTTTGCAGCCTTGGAGAAGTCTTCTAACTACTCTGGGCCTTGAGTGCCTTAGCAGACCAATTTTAGATGCAAAAACCTACCAAAGAATGGTGATGGTGCACCAGGAGCCCAGACCAGTGTCTGGCGCACAGAAACAGCCAGTCCTGCGGATACCCTGTCCTTCTCTTGGCCTTTTTTTTTTTAACTCACTATTGGCTATTGATCCCAGGACCTCACACATAAATAAGCGCTCTACTACCTGAGTCCTACCCAGTCCCCATTCTTGGCTCTTGACCTCCCCAGGTTCCTCTCAATGATTTTGCTTGCTAGGATAGTGGGGATGTGGAGGAGGGGACTTCCCTTGGCCCAGGCTAGAGAAGCAGAGGTTCAGGTAGACTGGAGGCAGCTCAGAGCTGGCAGGGGGCACAAGAGATTGAATTTTAGGGGATTAGGAACATAACAACAGTCAGAAACCCTGGGGGCCCCTGATACCTCATCACCATCATGTGGTTTGCCTTGGGCTCCCAGAACAGCTCCCTTTAGCAGGCCGAGGGCTCCCTTGGGGCCTGGCCTCACTATCTCCATGGTAACACACAGCAGCCACTGCACCTCCTAAGAGGGAGCATACCCTGGGGCTCCTGGGGTTCTGAGCAGCTCTGCAGCACTCCTGAGAACAGATACCAGCTGGCAGCCATTCTGACTTACCCCATGCATCCATTGAGGTCTGACCCAGATGACCTGAGGAAATCAAGTTGTAGGGATTGTATAATGAAGCCCAGATAATGTCCTAACCACTAGCTTCCTTCTGGCAGAGCCAGCTTTCTCATTACCGGCTCAGCTCAGCTCCTCTCCACTCTGGCCCAGCAGCCCATGCACACTCCCTCTCTTTCCTGACTAGGATCTCAATCAAAATGTACTGAGGCCAGTGCTATTATTCCTGTTTGCACCCAGGGAGACTGGATTAGTACCTAAGAGGCTGCCTCTCCTGTGCCCCTGGCTCTGATAAACCAGACCTACTCTAAGCCCAAAGGGAAGGTGGGGGCATAGGCTTGGTTTTGTCATTGCCCAAGAGCTTTAGGGGCCAGTGCTGTAGGGCTGGAGGCTTTCAGAGTGGAGGACAGAGGTAGAGCAGGCAAAGGATGTTCAGGGCCTCAGTCATTGTGACAGCCACCAAGAGGCCATGAGATGTAGCTGCAAGAGCAAGGGATTTGGAATAGTATCTAGCTCTTGACTCCTCAAGGCTGTGACTCTGAACAGACAGTCAACCTCATAGGCCTCCATCTCTGTGAAATGGAGATGGTAGTGGCACTAAAATCTGTTTCCCAATCTGGTGCAGGTGGCTCCTCCCTGTACTCCTAGCTACTCAGGAGGCTGAAATCTGAAGATCATGGTTCAAAGCCAGCCCAGGCAAGATAGTCCATCAGTCTCTTATCTCCAATTAACCACACACACACACACACACACACACACACACACACAAAAGATGTGGAGCTGTGGCTCAAGTAGTAGAACATTAACCTTGAGCTAAAAAGCTTAGGGACAGTGCCTCAGCTCAGAATTCAAGCCCCAGGACCTGAAAAATAATCTATTTCCCGTGGCTGTGGTGTGGGGTTGGATACATGTCAGATGTAATACTGGACCATCACAGGGCTTGATAAACCAAGGAAGAATAAAAGCACAGTTCCAAACATCTCCCAACACCCTTAGCTTGCATGGTTCTGCTCTACCACACACAACAGGACAATGGAGGGAATTTTAGGAGTGTGTCTTCACCCTGACTCACTGCACTACAGGGAGGGCAAGATTGCAAGGGCAGGGACTGCAGCGGGAGTGGAAGGCTTGGAGCAGGGTTGGGGAGAGTGAAGGGGCTGCTTGGCTCCAGCCCCTCAAGCCCATTTGCTTCCCTTGGCTCCCTTCCTCCCTGAGAAGCCAACATCCGGGCCCTCAAGGCCCTTCCAGGAATCTTCTGCCAATGCCCCTTTCCACCCAGTATGTGTGCCAGACTCACACCCTGCACCCCCTCCCTCCCTGCTCTGCACTGCCTGGTTCTGGGCAGCTGGTGTGTGGGTGGCCAAGCCCAGAGAAAGAATGAAGGGAGAGATCCGTGAGCCTAGAGCCCACCTGTCCAACCATGTATGCCCACGCTCTGTGTGGGCACGCTCTAGCTCACATGCCCTGGCACAGGTGACCACCCCATCCTAGAGGAACAGTTATTCCAGAAGACAACTCAGGGCAAGAGCACAAGCTGCTTTCTGACTCTTGGTTGATGATTGACTCACATACGGAGAATGTGGCTATAGGGTGCTCTAACAGGAAGGGGCTTGGGGACAATTCCCAAGATGTTTTTTGTTTCATCCCTTGTTTCTGAATCTTCCTTTCTCTGGCTGTCACCTCATTTGTCACCTACTTTGTCAATTAGTCTTTCACCTGTCACCCCCCCCCACTCCACCAAGCATGGGATTTCCATGGCCATTCTAAGTCTCACCAATCTTCCCACCACATCCATGCCCTTCATGATCTCTTCTCTGCCAGACACCCTTCCTCTACCACACCTCTCTGTCTTCTCACCACCATCTCTCCAACCCCTCGACCAGGTTCTCTGTGAAAACCTTGTTGGAGAAGTATACGACAGAGCCCATCGATGACTCATCAGAGGAGTTTGTTAACTTTGCAGCCATTTTGGAGCAGATCCTCAGTCACCGTTTCAAAGGTGAGTCTGGATTTCTGTCCCCCTTAACCCCATTGCCTACCCCTTCCAACTTTCAGCCTTTAACTCCCATCACACCCATTCTGAGATCCTCTATAGTTTTCTTTTTGTGTGTGCTGGTACTGAGGTTTAAACTCAGAGCCTCTTGTTTGGCTTTTTGATTCAAGGCTGGCACTCTACCATGTATGCCACACCTTCACTTCTGGCATTTTGGTGGGTAATTGGAGAGAAGAGTCTCACAGACTTTCCTGCCTGGGCTGGTTTTGAACTGCCATCCTCAGATCCCATCCTCCTGAGTAGCTAGGATTACAGGCATGAACCACCAGTGCCCCTTCCTCCAGAGGTTTCTGAATCCCATCACTAACTCTTGGCCCCAATTCTGGGCCATGTACAGAAACAAAAGCACAAAGCTAAGAAGAGGGGAGGGCCTCTGTCCATAGCCCCATTGATGGCACATAAATGTATGGTGTCTATTCTCTGCTTGCTGTGTGTTTGGGTTTGAGGAGGTGGTATATGTATGAATGACAGCTTACACTGAATGCATGTGAGTGCCTCATTGCACTCACCCTCTCCAAACTCCCTGGTCGTGCTGAGCCTCCTCCCTGCCCTGGCTCAGCCTGTGCCCCAGCAGGTCCAGTGAGCTGGTTCAGCTCAGATGGGCAGCGGGGCTTCTGGGACTATATCCGACTGGCCTGCAGCAAAGTGCCCAACAACTGTGTGAGCAGCATTGAGAACATGGAGAACATCAGTACAGCCCGAGCCAAGGTAGGGCCCATGATGGGCAGGACTAAGCAATGCTCCCTGCTCTGGACACAGGAGGTCCCCCCCCCTCAACACTGGGGAGAAGTGCTGGACATATGGACCCTATGGGACATCAGGTAAAGGTGAATGTGCTTTCCAGGGCCGGGCATGGATCCGGGTGGCACTGATGGAGAAGCGCATGTCAGAATACATCACCACAGCTCTGCGGGACACCCGGACTACCAGGTCAGACTTCTTGGGAGAGCAGTGTGTGTTCACTGCCTACCTAGACTGCAAGTCCCAGCAGTTTCCTTCTTTCAGATCATTCATGGGTCACCCTGGGCCCTGAAGTCCTGACACACACTTTCCAGCACCCTCACCACCTCTTCCAAAGCAAAGTCTAGTGCTATTACCTGCTATCATTTCTAGTCCTGCTCCTATCATGCCCAATCTATGCTCAGACTCAACTCTGAACAAGCCTCAGTTATGTACCATTTTGTTGTTGGTCTTGTGCCTTGACCTACAACACTCAGCCCTGACCTACAACACTCAGCACTGCCACTCCAGTGGTAGTTGTTTTGTACTTGCTTCCCAAGATCGTAGTGCCAACATGCAGAGCATCAGTGCCCAACTGTGGGTTCACAGGGAAGTTGGATCCCTAGCATCAGGACCCAGGACCCCAGGTCATAATGGAGAGCTGTCTGGGATGGGAGAGGGAATGTACCAGCACTTCCCACACGGTCACACACAACCTGATTTTATTTTTTAGTTTTTACTACATTCTGCCCCAGGTTTCCACATTTCAAATTAATTAATTTTTTGAGTATCTACTGTATGCTAAGCACTAATGACTAAGACTTGTTTTCTGGCTTAAAGGACCAGGGTGACCCAGTTCTTTGTTGGATGGGGTGGCTCAAAGGAAAATCGAGAGTCTCTTTTCAAGGGATAGGTGTTCTAGTCGGTGGGGGATGTAGGACTAGCTCATTAGCAGGGCAGGTGAAGTTCTGAGCAGAGGGCTCTTGGGTGTTGCTGCCCCCACCTCCCCATCCCGTACAGGCGATTCTACGACTCCGGAGCCATCATGCTGCGGGAGGAAGCCACTCTCCTCACTGGGATGCTGATTGGACTGAGCGCCATCGACTTCAGGTGGGGTCTGCGTGGTGGTGGTGGGGAAGAGGCTGCCGTTCCATCCACTGCCCCCACCTCTCACTGCCTCCCCTAACGCATGGCTTTTCTACCCCAGTTTCTGTCTAAAGGGAGAAGTCCTGGATGGGAAGACCCCCGTGGTCATTGATTACACGCCCTACCTAAAGTTCACCCAGAGGTAAGTAGCCCCACTGTGGCGGTGAGATGGGGAGGAGCAGAGCAGAGCATCCTCGGGAGGTGGGGCCTGTCATAGGGCGGGGTCTATCGTGGGGGCGTGGCCAGGTCCTGGGCGAAGACGAGGCTGTGGGCGGGGCTTTCGGGCGGGGCCAGCCCCACCTACTGCTCCCGCCCAAGCTATGACTACCTGACGGACGAGGAGGAGCGGCACAGTGCCGAGAGCAGCACGAGTGAGGATAACTCTCCCGAGCACCCCTACCTGCCTCTCGTCACTGACGAGGACAGCTGGTACAACAAGTGGCACAAGATGGAGCAGAAGTTCCGCATTGTGTACGCGCAGAAGGTGCTCACTGCGCGGCCGGGGGCGCGGGGCACGGGGCGGGGGATGAATGAGCGGGCCGGGGTCACCGCTGGGACTCGCCTTTGGTTCCCGGGCTGAGCCGGCACCCCGCAGGGCTACCTGGAGGAGCTGGTGCGTCTGCGCGAGTCACAACTGAAGGACCTGGAGGCCGAGAACCGGAGGCTGCAGCTGCAGCTGGAGGAGGCCGCAGCCCAGAACCAGCGCGAGAAGCGGGAGCTCGAAGGCGTGATCTTGGAGCTGCAGGAGCAGCTGTGAGCCGCCGCCTGCCCTGACCTCTGACCCCGGTGAACCCCATCATCACTCCATTACTGGCATCACTGACATTAACACCCAGCTCACCAGTATCAGCCCATTGACCCCCTCGCCTCTGCCCCAATCAATACCCTGGTAGCCGCTTCCAAACTCTCTCAAGTGGGTACCTTCCGTTTCCCGACATCACTAGGGCACTGTCCATTGCTGCAGGGCCTCCAGCGTGCCTCGCGGCCCATAACTTCCTTCAGTGACCCCCAACAGGGTTGCCTCACTCCCATTGTTAACACTGATCTGACTCCCTAGACCCACTGACCCACCGTGCAGTGACTCTAACCTCACCCTACGGATCCCAAAACCTGACTAGCCAGGCCATCCCTCACTACCCATCACGGATTCCCTCCAGCAGCCATCCCAAATGACTCTGGCCATTCCACTGCCTCCTCTAACTCCTGACATTAACGTGCTAACAATCCGTCATTGCTCTATCCCAGGTGCCTCCTCCATTGTCTGCCAGCGTCTGCCTCACGGCCCCTCCCCCCTCTTTGAGATGGACTCCCACTAGCACCAGGCCTCCAATTCACGATCCCTCTGCCCTAGCCACCCAAGTAGTGGGACTGCAGGCATGCTCTACCTTGTCTTCCCATTTTTTTTTTTTTTTTGCTACTCAGGGTTCCTGTCTAGCCCCCAAGTCTCCCCTGTTGCTGCTGCCTCTCCCTGCCAGGCCTGACCCCCCATCCCTTCCCAGGACAGGTCTGATCCCCGGTGACCACGCCCCTCTGGCCCAGGGTTCCAAGGAGCTTATCACCCCCCTGGTCAACCAATGGCCCTCCCTGGGACCATTCAATGGGGCCCAGGGTGCCAGCAACTCCAAGCTCTACAGGAGGTAAGCCCTAGCCAGGCTTGGTTTGGGCCTGAATGCTAGGCCCCCCGGGAAGAAGGGCCTAGAGGCTGGGGCCTCTGCTTGAACACTTGCTTTTCTGCTCTGTCAGACACAGCTTCATGAGCACAGAGCCGCTGTCAGCCGAGGCCAGTCTGAGCTCAGACTCCCAACGCCTGGGAGAGGGCAAGCGGGACGAGGAGCCCTGGGGTCCCATTGGTGAGCACTCAACACCCCTGCAGCAAGGGTTGAGGCATAGCTCTAGGGGGACCAAACCCCCTCTCAACCATGCCTGAGTAGTAGGCTTGAGGTATAAAGGAGAACCCAATATAAACAGCCATCTGTGCCTCCTCTAGCTGGGGCAGTCCATTCAACTCTACTGAGCTCCAATCCTATCTGAAATGGGGTGCTGGTAAAAGCAGTCATATGTTGGCCAATGACGCCCTCACATACGCAGGGTAATTTCTCAGCTTAACTGATTTGCTCTTATGCACATTTCCAACTGCTTTCCTGACCATTGTTTCCCCCTTTTCTTTGGCTGCCAGGAAGCTCAGAGCCAAATTAGTGGTTCCCTTGAAGCGAGCGAATGCCCGGGACTCCAACGCATGCATTTTGTGTTGACCTCACCCTTGGCTTCAACTTCATTTTTCCCATCCTAATTTTCTTGTGCCTGGATTTGCTGTTTTTATTTTGTTTTGCTTTGGATAACCACACTGTATTGGATGACACTAGATCTTGAGACAAGGCAGGTTTTGGACGTGTAACCCATCACAGTGTTTCTGATTGTGTCTGTCTCCCCCACCAGACTGTGAGCTCCATGAGGGCAGGGACCGTGTCTCATCCATTCTCTGTATTCCCAGTGCTTGGAACAGAGCAAATGCTCAGTGTGTTTAATAAATAGACAATGAGAAGACCTCAGGGGGAGACAGAGACATAACTGATAATTACAATAGTGTCCCCAGCAGTATGCACGGCACAGGCAGGTGCATAGTCAAGGTTTAATTGAAAATGACACTCTAAAAGGGGCCAAGAAAGTGGGGGGCGGAGAAGGGCTGTTCCTTCATTGCCTGCCCCTGCACCCCCTATCCTCACACACATGCAGTTTGGTTGGCAAGGCCTCACCCACCCTCTCTCCCCAGGGAAGGACCCCACGCCCTCCATGCTTGGCCTCTGCGGCTCTCTGGCCTCCATCCCCAGCTGCAAGTCCCTGGCGAGCTTCAAATCCAACGAGTGCCTGGTGAGCGACAGTCCGGAAGGCAGCCCAGCACTAAGCCCCAGCTGAGGAGCAGCATGGGCAGTGCCAGGCCTTCCTGCCAGGGGCCACGGACACCTGCCACTTCTCTTCCAGTCCCAAATCCAGGCCACCCTTCCAAAGAATGCTGCCCACTCCAGGGGTCTCTGCCTTTTGCCTGTTTTTAGTTTCCTGCCCAAGGAGGCAGAAGCAGCAAATGGTAATGGACAGAGCTGGAGGCAGAGAGGCCACAAGGGAGTTCCCTGGGACGAGTGGCTCCATTCTTTGTTATCCCAATGCCTGGCTGACTCCCTCTAAACTGTCATCTCCCACAGCCTCCTTAGGAGCTGGTGGCCCAGCCTTGTCACCCTTGCTATCCTGCCTCTGGTATGTCCCTGCATACCCTCTGGTTACTCTTTCCTTGGACCCCACATGGGAACTCTGGAGGGGGGGAACCCAGGCAAATAAAAACCAGAGGATTGAGGGTAGCTTCATCTGTGGAAGGGTGGGGGGAAATCCCACTTTGAGCTCAGCAAAAGGTACTGGAGCTAGTGCCTGAGCCTAGCTATAGTGATGCTGTCAGAACTAGCATGGGCTCTGTGGGAGCAGGTGGCGCATTATTCAGAAATGGGGTTTCTGTATGACATGTCTCTATATGGAGTTTGCCCTAATTGGGCCAAGACATGAAGTGCCCCTTTTTGGCACTTAGTACTTGCTGCTCAAGCACAGGCAGGAAAGGCCAAACCCTCTGGGGGAGAGCTCTGGAGAGAAACTTCCCAGGCCCCAGGCCTGAGTATTTAGGCTGTATACCTGTCCCTCAGGCACTTCCACAGCTCTGGTTTCTCTGTTGCCACTCTATATGGTCTTGGGGAGATTTCTCACCCTAACCCAATGGGCCTACCCTGAAGGAACCTCACTATTAGGGTAGCAACTGGTGCCTTCCTCAGATCTGGGTCCTCACCTTTACACCTGGCACTCCTGAAGTTGGGCAGGGCCTTTTCAGGTTGGCTTTTGGCTAACCTAGTACCCTCTTTAGCCTCTCCTACCTTTGTTCCCAAGGCCCCTTCCCCTGCCCCCGCCATGCCTAGACACCACAGCCACAGGCACCACAGAAGATCATCATCAGCTTTACACTAGGAACAGATGGGACTGGGAGCCCAGCCACAGCAAACACAGAGGGAACACAAAGGGGGCAGTTTCAGATTTGGTCTTGAACTTAGAAGGAAAAGTGACAGTCTTGGTAAAGGGAGCAACAGGAAACACACTGTGCCTGAGGAAGGCTTAGGTGACAGGGGGAGGCTACTTGGGGCTTTTGGAAGGAAAGGAAAAGGAGGGGCGGGGCATCCCTCCCCAGTACTGAGGCAAAGGCACTTGGCTCAGTCTTCAGCCCCGTCTATGGAAAAGCAGGGGCATCTCGGTGTCTCCTTCAGTGGCCAAGAGGCTGCTCCTGGTTGAGCCTCTGGAAGAACCTTTTGCCAAACTCATAAGTGCTGATCATGATGGCACATGAGGGTGCGGCCTTGATGATCCTGGGGAGGAAACCTGAGGCAGGAGAGAAGAATGGGCTCAGGGTCCCAGACCCCAGCAGCATATGTGTACCCATGCACCCACAGACACCCACCTGCAAAGAGGCCCTTGGTGCCCGACTCAGCTCGGATTCTCCGCAGCAGCAGCCAGGTAGAATCGACACTTGGGGGCTTCACTGCAAATTCAAGGACCAGCTCAGTAAGACCCTGCTCAGCCCCACACCTGCCAGTCAGCTCCACTAGCTGAGCTCACCTCTTACAGCTTCCACAGCTCCTAGTGCGACCTGACGCTGTGTCTTCACCACATCAAAGGGGAGAGTCAGGATGGCAGCTACCTAGTGGGACAGGAAGAGTACTCATCCCCTTTCCCAAGACCCCCATCCTCAGCATCCTGGTGGTCCCCCTGGGTTTGCTAAGAAGAGCAAGCAAGCTCTTCAATGGGCAAAGATGTTCTATGTGGGCACGCCTCTCCCTACCTCCCAACCAGCCACCTCAACCCCAACCCTGTCAACTCACTGTCCCTGAGATGCCACCAGCCATGAAGCTCACGCCCACAGATGTCTGGTCCTTTGGTCGGAACCTCTTCAGCCAGCTCTTCACCAGCTCATAATTGAACCAGTAGAGAGCTTGGGAGATGAAGCACACACAGTAGAAATGGTGAGACCAAGGAGTTGGGCCCTAGACCACATCTGTGCCCTCTCATAGGCATATACGGCCTATCTGCTCTGTGCCAGCCTACTAGGCCCTCTGCAGGAATGAGCTCATGGTAACTGCCCTCCTCACTGGGCCCCAGGGTCAGCGAAGTGACTTTGTCCACTGGTGACAAAGCAGGGACCTGCTTTGTAGACCCACTGTGCATCATCCAAGGGATCTTTTGCCTACCTGAGAAGGGCACATCTCGAAGGACGGTGGGGCCCCAGCCCAGCCACAGAGAGCGCCAGCCACCTTTAGCCACTGCAGCCTGGACGCAGGTGGCTAGCTCACGGTATGAAACATGCTGAGCCTGCAGCTTGGTGCGCACAAGTTCCAGGGGGCTGACCACCGTCACAGTGCCCACTGCAGGGGTCGGGGAGTAGAAAGAGTCCAGGTCACATATCCCACATGACAGCACCTAGCTCCTACCCCCCTTTCCTGGGGGCTGGGAATCAGGGCTGTGTGGACTGAGACACAGGTAGGGAAGAGGGAAAGCAAGGGCCCAGGGCTATGCTCACTGCGGGCGAGTGCGCCAGCCACCATGGGTGCGTAGAGGTCAGAGATCAGGGCTCGGCTGCATAGGAAGGCCTTGAGTTGGTCGTAGGCAGTGAAGTAGAAGGCTGTAGCTGGCACAGTCATGACCCTGGAGGGGTAGACAGACTAGCTGGAATCCCAAGTGTTTCCCTGTCCCATCCAGTCAGCCAACAGAGAGCAAAGGATCAGAAGGTACCAGGAAAAAGGAACACCCAGAATTTACTCACAGGGTGGCAGGGAGGCCGCTCCATAGGGTCCTTGTGCCCTCATGCCTTACAATCTTCACAAAGGCATCCTGATCAAATGGGAGCCAGTCCAGGGGGAAGAGGACAGACATGAGCAAGGCCTAGAATGGGACTGGCCCAACTAGAACCTTAACATAGCCTCTTCCCAGTCCTGGGTTCTGCTTAGTTGCAGCTCCACAGGCCCACAGCATGCATCCTCCACGCACCCCCCTCCCCCAACTTGGCTCTTGTAAACTCCTATTCATCCTCAAAAACCTCATGGAAGGTGGCAGATATAGCTCAGTGGTACAGCACTTGCCTAGCACGCACAAGGCTCTGGTTTCTCCAACATCAAACACAAAAGCCTCCCGGGAGCATTCTGCTCCTGGGAGGCCCTTCCCACACTGAACTGGCATCTACACCTGTTTCCCAACCACACCGAGTCCCTCAGGCACATCTGTGCTGTTCCTCACCAGGGTACCAGTGAAGCGGGTAGGATCTCGAAACCAGGTGGAACAGCGGGTACCATTTGGGCACAGGTAGAGGGGCTCTAGGACACCATTGCAGTAGAGGAGGCACTTCCCTGTGGATTGGAGAGAGGAGGGTGCTGGGGAAGGGGAGGGGGCATTAGGAAGACAAAGCTCTGGAGCCTTGCTGGGAGGTGGTAATGAGTCCCTAACCCTAGAGAGCCAGCAGAGGGTGGGGTTTCTACATGGGGGTGTGTGTTGGTGTGTGTGTGTGTGTGTGTGTGTGTTGGTGTGTGTGTGTGTGTGTGTACCATATGCTGGTACTGTGGTTGGTGTGTGTGTGTGTTGGTGTGTGTGTACCATATGCTGGTACTGTGGTTGGAACTCAGGGCTTGAGCCCTCCCATTAGTTTTTTCTCTACCACACTTGAGCCACAGCTTCACTTCTGGCTTTTTGCTGGTTAACTGAAGATAAGTCTCACAGACTTTTCCTAGCTGTGCTGGCTTCAAACTTTGATCCTCAGCTCTCAGCCTCCTGAGCAGCTAATATTACAGGGGGAAGCCACAGATGCCTGGCTTCTACATGAATGTTATTGTGTTGGACAGAAGACCGGCTGATGTGACCTCCAAGTGTTTGCTAGTCTGGGACCATAAGCCTAGGGGTGCCCTAGGGACACTGTGCTAGCTCCAGGCAGAACCCTCCCCAGACTCTATGTAGAGTGGGCCACTCACATTTGGTGTAGGAGAGGCTCCAAAGTCTGGAGGGAGGCATCAGCTCTGAAACACAAGGCAGCCCCTAAAGTTAGGAGAGCTCCCTACCCATCCCAAGAACCTTTTCATTAGGAGGTCCTCATTTTACCCAGGGAACTCCCTCAATCCGGCTCCCGGAGCTAGTTCTCACCGCTGGCTACAGTGGGACGCTGAGATTGCAAGCGGACCTTCACCACATCCAGAGGTGTCACTGGGGGAGAGAGAGGCAGGTCTAAGGCTCTCTTCTGGACCCCCCTACCTCCACCCCCAGCATGAAGCTGCCCCCAGTAGTTTGCCCCATCTCCAGTGCCCCCATCTCATTTCCCCAGGTCTTACTAAAGAGGGAGGTGACCACAGCCCCAGCCCCTGAAGCCACCATTTGTTGCAGGGGGCTAATGCCCCCAGGGTCCTGGTCAGACATCTTGAAGTTTCAATCCTGAAACAGAAATCTCAGTCAGTGGAACAGCAACTGACAAGACAGAGAAAGTGCCACAAAAGGCCAGGCACTTGGAGAAAGGGGAGACTTTAGACAGTTGCTTGCCCTCACTGCTCACCCAAATAAGTAGCTCAGTAACTTTCACAGTAACTTTGTATGGGGGAGGGAGGCTAACTGGGGCTTCAACTCAGAGCCTGGGTGCTGTCCTTTAGCTTTTTCTTTTTTTGGTCTGGTCGTGGGGCCTGAACTCTGGGCCTGGGCGCTGTCCCTCAGCTCTTCAGCCCAAGGCTAGCGCTCTACCACTGAGCCACAGCGCTACTTCCGGCTTTTTTTTCTTTTTGCTTATGTGGTGCTGAGGAATCGAACCCAGGGCCTCATGCATGCAAGGCAAGCGCTCTACCACTGAGCCACCTTCCCAGCCCCCCTTTAGCTTTTTCTTTCAAGGCTTGAGCCACAGCTCCACTTCTGGCTTCTGGGTGGTTTAAATAGAGATAAAGGGTGTCGTGGACTTTCCAAGTGCAGGCTGACTTTGAACCATGATCCCCAGATCTCAGTCGTTTGAAAGCAGTTGGTATCAGCCGTACTTTGTCAATGGGGAAACTAAGGCTCAGGGAGGTGAGGTGACCTGTCTCCGATCACTAAAGGAGTGGTAGTCTGGGAGGGAGAGCCACCCACTACTTAATGGCAGCAACGGCCCAAGGCCAGTTCCTCATTCACACCACACGTTTACGGTGCTACCTAAGTACAGACGCAGGGTTTGACCCTGGCGACCCCTAAATACAAACAACCTCGGCCTTCAATTCCAGCCCCCAGCCCCTTAGGCAAGCACACGTGCGCCCCAAGTCCCGGGTGAAGAGCCCTGGCGCTGGGCACTCAGGGAAACGAGTAAACAAGTTTGATAAGGAGGAGAAAGGTCCATCTGCCTTCCCAGGACTGCAGGCCAGGGTACCCTGCCCTGCCCCCACTCTGCCTTCCAGGGC